ACATGAAAAAGGTTGTTTTCATTTCAAAATTTCTCAAAGCAATCTAGTTCACCGTGATTCGAAAAAATTAGTCGTGTGTCGTGAAATAGCCCAATTTTTAGCCGTGAGTCGTGATTCGTACTACTCTATTGAGACCCTCTAGTACGTTTCCGGTCCGGAAAATTGTCTTTTTTGCATCTTAACAAGGGAAGTTCCGAAAATATTGTAATGCTTGTTTTAATTATGAGAAAATTGCTGTTTTGTAGTTGACATTCGCGGTTTCAATTTAGTTATATAACATGACGATTGGTTCAAAAAAAGTGCTGTTTTTACACCTGTTCTTTGAGCTATTTAAGTTTTGTCAGATCTATAGAAAAGAAGTCATACGAAGTTACAGTCAAAAAAGTCTTAAAAAGTCTCCATGATTTCAAGTGCTAAACAGAGCTTGAAAACCATTGAAATTTGCTAAGTTCGTGTGAGTCGCGTATCTTGATTAGGCGTAAGGTAGATATCGCTACCAGCGAGCTATGCTACAGTTTCTGCTATACAAATACGTTAAACATAAAACACACTATGAAATACGAGTGTCAAAGTACACATCAGTATATTTTTAACCTCTTTTTGAACGATTTTCAATATAAAACAATATGTCTAAAAGAACAAACTCGTGTCACTGTAAGCTTTAATATTAAAATGAGCTTACTTACAAATCGCGCATTTGGTTAATTTTTTATTTTTTGGCATGCAGCAATGAAACTGAAAACACTACCCCATAAATACAATAAATACAATAAAACAGAAAACAAATTATACCAACTAATGAACAAAGTAAGAACTGTTTATTTATAAAATATTTTCTTTCAAACAAAAACAACAACTTCGGTTTTTTAGCATCAAAGCCGGACTTCAGTTCTAATCTAGTTCTAAGCTCATTTCAAGTAATTTCAAACAATGAAAACAAGTTTTTACTARCCTCTAAATCTGACGAAATAAAAACACGGACTATATAGTAGGACTTCTTATTTTATCAAACAGTTTTCAACCCTTTGACCGTCCACATGGCGAGATGAATCAAAGCAACTCACCTCTCCGACAATTTGCTTATCGATTTATCAACAAAACGGATGTCCACTTGTCGANTTACAGTTTTAGAAAGTTGCTGTTCTTAGTTTAAGGAAATATAATAATACAGAAAAGTGCATGCCTTTCAACGCTGTTCAAACACGGTAACTTGTTTTTTAAAACCCAGGCCCTAACCAATTGCTTTTTTCACTCACTGTATGCTAGTAGCGATTTTTGTTTTGCTGTCACTGCCCAAAACTGGCCAACTATGTTAAGGGGTGGTTTTGACCTTGACTATATTTTTTTGAACTTGGAAACATTTTCATCATAAAATATAAATTTATTCATCCAATTTTCTTCATATTGACATATTTAGCTAGTTTAGCAGATTTTAGCACTTTTTTGTTGTTTAGGGAAAATCACGTGGTCTATTACGTCATTAAATAGGAAAATAGAAAAATGCGGCCGCGAATTTTAAACAATCGCAAATGTTATGCACGTAAATATCATTGCTTGACCAACAGAAACAAATTGCCGATTGGAAAATTGGAATGTATATTATCTTTAAGAAGATATTTGGATAAAATCTTGTCACGTGACCTATAACGGAATATCTCCTAAAGTACGAGTCAAAGGCAGGTTTTCCAAGAAGATTTGAATTCACCTTTGGGAAGCAATCCATATTCCATAAATAGAATTCTTGTTGCTTTGAAACTCGGGTCCGTATTTTAAGATCTAAAACTTCTTTAAGACTCTTTTATCCTTTAAAAGGTCCCACGTGATCACGTGACTAGTTGTAAATATTTCTTTTATGATTGTCAATAAACCCTCAAAGTTTCACTATTTTTTCATTGGGTTTTGGTTCAAAAAACTGAAAAGTATATTTTCTTACAATGAACACGAGGCCTTAACATACTTGAGTGAAGAGATACAATATAACTACATTACGAGCGGTACAGAAATTGAATCTTTCTTATTGGTTTGTTTAGCTCCACCTTATATTCAATTAACAAAAGAAAGGATCTAATGAAAAAATGATCTAAAAAAGAAAATAAATGAAGGAAAATAATCAAAAAGCCACTAAATATTATCAAAAATGTGTCTCCTATTCCTAGAACGCATCTCATGGCGTCATACTGTCATGTGACAAATGCTACTATTATCCCGTTGAGGCAGAGGAATACCAGCAGCAAAGAGAAATGTTTAGTAACTGATTATTACATTTATGGTTAAATGCTATAAAACGGTATTACATTTATGGTTGGTCTCGAATATTACATTTATGGTTAAAAGTTATTACATTTATGGTGGGGTCGATTATTACATTTATGGTTGATCGTTATTACATTTATGGTTGTTATTACATTTATGGTTGATTTTTATTACATTTATGGTGGGTATTACATTTATGGTTGTTATTACATTTATTTTATGGTTGATTTTTATTACATTTATGGTGGGTATTACATTTATGGTTGTTATTACATTTATGGGTAATACATTTGATGAGATACAAAATTTTTTCACCCTAACATCTAGTCGTATGCTAACGAGTATGTTTATGTGCTTATGGTGTAGACTCATGATGAGAAATGTCCTCTGGCCATTGTACCCTGCAGTTACGTCAGTATTGGTTGCAAATTTAAGGTAACTTAACTAACATCTGATTCATCGCTTTCATTTGTTCTGTATTTTGTTGGTACTGATTTGTAATTGTTGGATTGTCTAGGCACCAAGGAGATCTTTAAGCGATCATTATAAAAACAAGCTAGCAGACCATCTTGAACTCACGACACAACAACTATTGACCCTTCGAGTTGAAAACATTAATCTCAAGAAACAGGTTTTGGAACTCAAGGCGTCTAACTATACTTATACGTGGAAAATCAGCGATTTCAGTCAACAGCTACAGTTTGCAAAGGAGCAAGACCATGGTATCAAACTGTACAGTGAACCGTTCTACACTCACAAGTATGAATACAAGCTGAAACTGAGATTAAATCCTTATGGAGATGGTGCTGGCAAGGGTACCCATGTATCAGTATTCATGATTATCATGCAAGGTGAATACGATGCAATATTGACCTGGCCATTTAATTGGAAACACAAGTTTACCCTGCTTGACCAGAAGCCAGATCCCTCCAAGCGTAAAAATATCGACCATGGTTACATTAATCCTGATACGAGTATGGATAGCTTCCAAAGACCAACAACTGATGAAAACCTTGGATATGGATATCCCGAATTTGTATCTCATGAAATAATAAAAACTGAGAACTATGTTGTCGATGGAGCAGTTTTCATCAAGTTGGAGTGGGAGAATCCTTCTATGCAAAATTAAAACGATGTCGAGAAGTTAATATTTTAAAACACAACAAGGATAGCCAAAAGTTGACCAAAGTTTATCAGTCTTCACTGGAAAAAAATCGCGCGCTTTAAAGGTTGTAAATTTGATGTAAATATGATGTAAGTGTCCAAAATTCAGTAAATCTAATGGAAATCATTTACATCAAATTTACAGAATTTTGGACACTTACATCATATTTACATCAAATTTACAATCTTTAAAGCGCACGATTTTTTGCAGTGCTTGACACAGTACATACGACTCCTTTGTCTTATTCCTTTTATTGTTTTGAAGGCCAAAGCTCTGTCAGGACTTTTTATTTTAGAGGTCGGAGCGTCAGGAAAAATCCAGGAAAACTATAAAAATCATATAGCAGTTCATCATGACTGCTAATATATTTTGAGTATTTTTATTGTGTATACTTGTTTAAGCTGAAAAGTTTCAATGCACACACGATACGACCAATCAATATTTAGAATCTTAAAAGACAATATCAATCAATCCGATCAACTAGAACGTGGCCCAGTGTGGTTTGATGATGATAATTGGGATAGACATTGTTGCTGTTGTTAAGTTTGTAAAATTTGCAGGTTTCAATGAGCTGAGAAAGTAAACTTCATAATATTTACAAAAGCAATTGATTTTCACTGCGTTTCTTAAAACCCATTTTTAGTACATGAATTATTATTTCTCAACAGTATGATTTAGTTTTATGTACAGTATTGATTGAGTGGGAGGGCCTTACGGGAAAATATTTGGCTCGAGGTTATGCCGTACGGACCGAGCGCAGCGAGGTCGTCCGTACAAATGACCGAGAGCCAAATATTTTCCCGTACGTCCCAACCTAACTCAGTCAATAAGCATTTTATCACATGACAGCGTTTTTTAATGTAAAAAAAATAAATAAAAGCGCGCGGAACTTCAAGCTGGGAAAATACGGGTTTGTACGGACCTGTCGCGAAAAGGCGTACGGACCCCATCACGTGACCATTTTCCAAAGGTTTCAGTGAGAGCGCGCGTAGTGACGAAATACGGGCCATATGATAATATTACTTATTTTATTTGATATACTTTGATATACTATTTGATATACTAAGGTAACCTTCTCTTCTATAAATAAATTTATGAAGCTTAATAAAAAGTAACTAAAAGTTAAATAAAATAAATACAGGTATGTGATTAGTCATATTTGAGTGCCCTATTTTCTAACTTTTCTTTGTGTGTATATTTTTATTACTATTATGAAAGGTAAATATACAGCAAATCTCCGCAAATGGCAAAAATAAACAAATGTATTTGTGTAACCAGGAGGTTTATATGAGTCACCACAGGAAACCCAAAGGAAAGCTGCCTGCATCATATGAAAAATAGAAGGAGACTGATAATGAGTTAACTTACTTCACTCCAATACAAAAAATATTAATTGTTAAAAAAGGGAATATTGCATAAACAAGAGACTAAATAAACGAATAATGGAACAATAATCTATTTTTAAATTTGTCAATCTTTCACTCTTTAAACTTTGTTTGTCCTGATATAAATATTCCAGAATACCTGACTAATTAGGGATCTATAATCGCTCAATGAAATATGGTCTATATGACTTCGTTATTATAAATGGTAAAACTCTGAAAGTTTTATAATACACAAACACAATGAGCAGTTTGAAAATCGATTACGTCATGCATGACTTCTTGCCCCAATCTCACTCTTCTACTTGTAGTTTCAATTTGACTGTAGTATAAGTGTGTAAAGTAGGAAGTAACGATACCATGGCCAGTAACACTGCATTATCGTCTGGATACGACTATCAGTTTGTCGTACAAGTACCTGAAGACTACATTTGTAGTATTTGTTATCTTACAATGCGAAAACCCGTACAGACAAGATGTGGACATCGATTTTGTAAGGATTGTTTGGATGCAGCCTTAAAGAGGTCAGTAGGAAATAGATTTAAAAATACCAATCAACTTTGCAACGTTGATCAATATTCACATATTCGAAAAAGGTCGTCCTTTTTTGGTACAGAAATCAATGTATATCGACAGTGAGATTGTAAATGATTGTGAAAGCAAAGCTCTTCAAAAGACAAAACTAATTAACTCAGTCTTCAATCGAAGGTCATGATTGAGCTTGGGTTTCATGAGTTGTTACAGGAAGGCAAACTGTCACGACAGACACCTAGAACCGGGGAATAGAAAAGAAAATATTTTCACGAAGGAATGAATCATGATAAATTGGCGATTCAAAAAAACTAGGAACGTGTCAATCTTTCCTTGCTTCGAAAATTGTTTAGGAAAAATCAGGATAAAAACAGAAATTTATAAACTGTATAAAGCCTATTCAACTAGAGGATGCTCATTTGGGTGGTGGTGAGGAGGGGACACCCCACACCCCATAATACATGTTTGTAAATTACAAAATATATAAAGCCACAAAGAAAGTAAAAAAAGCATAAATTAAAAAAAAAGCTCTGCAGCTATTTTTTCAAAATGGCGGACGCTACAGCGAAGAACCTGGCAAACACTGATTATCCCGTGATCAAATGCTCCAAAACTCATGTAGCATTTGATCACGTGCCTATAAATGCGTTCGCAACGTAAATTCAGCGTTCTTAAATGGGCTAGCTGTAATGGGTCGACATTTTGTTTATATAATGTACAAAAACAATTTAACTTAATTGTTTATTTAATAATTTCCATCTCATAGACAATATAAGTAAAAGGATTAGTTTCAGTTCATTTTAGAAGGCCTCAGGGATTCGTAGAAAATTGTGAAGAAGAGAACGTGGCTGTAGAAAGCGGCGAGTATAAGACTAATATAAAAATTAGGTAACACCTAATAGCGGAGCTCCAATAGCAATATAGAAGCTGAAAATGATTATCTANACGGCGGTATTGGATGCAATTTTAAGGTGAGTAATCCTGTTTTTCATTTGTTTCCAGTGTTATTGTTATTGTTATTGATTTGTGATTGTCGGTTATTTCAAGGGAACAAGGAGATCTTTAAGCGATCATTATAAAACTAACATGGTGGACCATCTTACCATCACGACACAACAACTATTGACGCTTCAAGATGAAAACATTAACCTCAAGAAACAAGTTTTGGAACTCAAGGCGTCTAGCTTAGAAGACATCATTGATCTTAAGAAACAAGTTTTGGAACTCAAGGCGTCTAGTAGTGAAAACATTAATGATCTCAAGAAACAATTTTTGGAACTCAAGGCGTCTGGCTATAGTTACACGTGGAAAATCAACGATTTCAGCAAACAGCTACAGCTTGCAAAACAGGAAGACGACCTTGATATCATACTGTACAGTGAACCGTTCTACTCTCACAAGTATGGATACAAACTGAAACTACAGTTATATCCTAATGGACATGGTGATGGCAAGGGTACCCATGTATCAGTATTCATGATTATCATGCGAGGTGAATACGATGCAACATTGACCTGGTCATTTGATTGGAAATTCAAGTTTACCCTGCTTGACCAGAAACCAGACCACTCGATGAGAAAAAATATTGACGGCGGTTTCATTATTCCCACTACAAGTAAGTGTAGCTATCAAAGACCAACAACTAATGAAAACGTTGGAATAGGACGTCTCAAATTCGTTTCCCATGAAACATTAAAAACTGAGAACTGTGTTGTCGATGGAGCAGTTTTCATCAAGTTTGAGTTGGCAGATTCTTCTGTGCAATACTGAAACGATTTCAATTTTTTTTTAAATCTAACACAACTTCTGAAAAAGGTAACGGCGAAGTTGACCTAAGTTTATCAGTCTTGACAGAGTACATAAGTTTCCTATATTTTATTCCTTTTTTATTTCTTAATGTCATGTAAATCTCTGTAACAAATCGCGCACTGTAAAGGTTGTTAGTTAAACATTTAAATTAGGAACTCTATGAAGACCACTTACGTGAGAGCTTTTAGTAATGAAATATTGTTTGAGTATTATTATTGTGTACTTTGTTTGGTTGAAAATGCATACACGATACGAACAATCAATTTTTAGAATGTTCAAGGAAAACCCATCAATCCGATCAACTATAAACTGGTGGTAGGAGCATTGATGACCTTTCCCAGTGTGGTTTGATATAACAATTGTGTTGTAAATTGTTACTTTAAATTGTTAAATTTGTAAAATATCCCAACGACCTTTCTTTTCTATAAATAAATAAATGAAGCTTAATAAATAGTAACTTAAAAGTTAAATGTGAGAAATAAAGTATTGAGTTTATTAATATTGGGGTGCCTTATTTTCTTCTTTGTATTAATATTTTTTATTAGTATTATGAAAGGTAAATAAATGGCATATATAAATAACAATTACACTATGTAAAGAGGCTTTCAATAGGCATAGTACGACAGACACGTACCCAGTCCTTTCTCTTCCTCTTTCTACGATTCGCGTTGCATCAAGGGAAGTCTGATTCTTCCGACTATCCTTAACCCTTTGCGTGCTTCACAGAAAAAAAGAACAGTATCGACTGGCTACGATTATGATGGTATGATACTAGGAATATAGACTACAATCGTGGTTTGGTAACTATAGTTTTCATTGATTCTCTGAAAAGACTACAGTTTGATGAGATGTTCGCATCAAAACAAGATGTAACTCTACAGGATTGTGGTACTAATATGTAATAGACACTGTGCACTGTGATTTGTGTCTCAGTAAGGTTTGTCCGAGGTTGATATATGAAGGTCAGAAGATTTCATTTTCTTTCGGGTTACAGTTTGATTTTTTTGACTACTAATGATTCAAAAACATATGTAATTGGTTTTCATTAAACCGTGAAATTCACTGTCAGGTGAGTGAACTGCGTACACTTTAGAGAAACACAAATAGCTAAAATCAAACTCGGTATTTTTTTCTTTTCTTAAAATCTAAAACCTAGCTGAAATGCAAAACCATACAAACGAGTTTCCTTTTCCCCAGGCCTCAGGCTTCGTTTATTTCAAACGAACGCTTAAGGGGATTGTGGACGACGATGACCGTCAAGAAAAAATGGACTACTCGAAGGCTTATGAAGGTAAAGGCTTTGCCGAAAGATATGCATTGCCAGGCATTTTGGTCAAGATGGCGACGCGCATGCGTTATAACGCGCAAAGATAAACGAAATCGATCATGGCTTCCATTTTGTATTAGGGCATATTTGTATGTCCAAGAACATTTATTAGTATTTGTGGACGAAGCAAAGCATTATGTACTCGGTGCGTGACTTACATGACAAGGATCAAAGTATAGTTCAAACTTTGTTATCACGGCAATAACTGTTGAATAAAAAGCAGATTTTCTTCCTGAGCAGTTTGTTTTGTTGATCCTTAAGCATTCAGGCTCCTTCTATATTTTCTTTAAAATCTTACAACATTTCATGTACATATCAGTCGGTTTGAGGTAGAATAATATCGTGAACGGTAAGCAGTAAAGTATCATTAATAGCTCAAGGGTAGTTAGCCAATCAGAATGCTGTGCTTGTAATTGTTTACATGCTGATGAATATGATACAAAAACRACSAGCAAAAAAAGAAATCAAATAAAAAATGAGCTAATATTGTATGGGTCTAGTATCCTACGAATTTTAAGACCAAAAAAAATGTTAAAGCAACCTCCCCTGAACAACAGTAGACCACTGTATTGCTAATCGTCAATGGCCATATTTTGCCATTATCGATTTGATATCGACTACGCAGAGTTATTCAAAGTTGATTCTCCAGAAGGATCGACGAGCGGTGGATACTTGGCACTCTTTATCTTCAGCAAACAGACCTTCCAGCCCAGAAGAATATTGATAAACGATGTTCTAAAGTCTTTGTTTATACAGGCGGATACAAAGGGGTTATAAACAGAGTTACTGTAATGCATCCACTTTGCTACTTTGATTGTTTCGGGACCGACACACGGCGCACAGAACCCATACACCACGTTAAGAATAAAAAACGGTCCCCAGCTTACGATAAACGCTCCCATAAACTGCTCAACTACGATCAACTGCTCAAAGACAAGTCTTTCGATTTCCAGTTTCCAAGCTCTAACTGCTATATTTTTACTTTAATTCTTTAGATCATTTTAATCTAAAATATGTTTGTGGGTTGGATTTTAGCACATTTAACTTTATCATAAAATCCA